TTTTGCCTTTTCTTTTACAGTACTGGAAAAAGGGAAGGGGTAATGCTGACTAGAGCTGGTGCAAATGCAAGCTAAGGGATTTAGTTAAAGTTAAACCAGTATGCCCTTCAAAATGGCTGAAAATATAGTAAATATACTTTCGATTTAAAAAAATACATTGCACACAGCTCAACAGCAGTATTCCATCGTGTTTATAAAGAAAAAGGTGGAACAGAAAATCTAAAATTTCAGTGGAGAACCTGTGGCCCTCCAGATGTTGAATAATTGCATGTGTGACCATTGACTCTGCAACCTCCTCCCCCAAATCTAAAGCAATGGCTTGGATCAGAGAAACCTCTTCTTAGGATCAACAAAATTCACGAATAGGGTGGTATGTGGCAGTAACGGCTAGGGTGGAATAGCTGAAAAACAAGTGGGAGCACGTTTACTTCTCTTCCATGACTGCCAATGTTTCTTTTCCTCAAGGAGCTTTCGAGTCTGTCACAATGTGGGAGAAGCTTCATGCAACATCTTCAGCGGCAAATAATGATGCTAAACAGAATCTAGAAAATGTTTCCATCTTCCTCTGTTTATGTTGCTGAGTTGCAGCACTTCAAATGAAAGTGCAGTGACAGATATGCTCAGGGACGCGGACTTATAAAAAATATTGGGGGGGCCCGGGAAAGCTCATGAATAATAAATAAGCTCATGAATATGCAAATAAAGTGGCTCCGGCCCTAAATAGGGCAAGCCACGCCCCCCCAGCCAGCCGATTGGCTGGCTGGGAGGTGTGGCCAGTCGGGATTCCCCTGTTCTCGCGGGGGCTGAAACCGCCAGGAGGAAGGAAATTCCCCCCCGGCAGTGCCTTGGCAGTGGCGGTGGTGCTGCGAAGCAGCGAGGCAGGAGCCCCCGCCCCCGGCGCCCGAGATTATTGGGGGGGCTGAGCCCCCCCAAAAAAATTTTTTGAGGGGGCTCGAGCCCCCTCAAGCCCCATGGAGTCGGCGCCTATGGATATGCTCATGGATGTCCACATGGATATTTCAAGGAGAAGCTATGCCACAGCCATCTTTGGGACGTTGCAGGAACAATTGAGGCAGGCACCTTCTCTGGGATAGAGACAACAGAAGGCATTTGCCTGGCAATCCTGGCTGATGGTTCCTATCAGGTCTAGAAAAGGAACTTGTGTGACGCTGTGGTCTAAACTACTGAGCCTCTTGGGCTTGCCAGTCAGAAGGTTGGCAGTTTGAATGCACATGAAGGGGTGAGCTGCTGTTGCTCTGTTCTACTGAAGAGGCTCCTCATGAGGCCAGAGGAACATCACCCGGTTGTGAGGCATGAAGGCTGCTCCCCACAAGGCCCTTTCCACCTGGCCTAGGGGGTGAGGCCCACACTCACCAGCCCTACTGAAGAGGTGAATTATTAATTACTCAATCAATCAATCAATCAATCAACCAATTAATTAATTAATTGATTAATTGATTGATTAATTAATTAATTATATCTAGCCTGCCCATCTGGTTGGGTTTCCCCAGCCACTTTGAGTGGCTTCCAACAGAAGGTTAAAAATACATTAAAACATCAGTCATTAAAAACTTCCCTAAACAGGGCTGCCTTCATGAGGCCGGAATAACATCGCCTGGCTGGGAGGCATGAAGGCCACTCCCTGCAAGGCCCCTTCCACCTGGTCTAGGGGGTGAGGCCCAGACTCACCAGCCCCACTGAAGAGGCTCCTCATGAGGCTGGAGGAACATCGCCCACCTGTTGTTTTATTGATTTAATATGCTGTAAACCACTTTGAGATATTTATTAAAAATATAAAGCGGTATAGAAATTAAATAAATCAATAAATCAATAAGGTTATCCACTATTATTTGCTCTTTCCATTGAACAGCACCATTAAAACACAATGTAAAGTTTTGGAGTGTTGATATAAAAGGTTAAGTCCAGATGAACACTTTGTTCTCACATGAAATTGTGCTTTTATTGTCTAACCCAGAGGAAATGATGCCTGACGTTTGGGGAGAATTAGACTAATGAAGCAAAATCTGATTTGCAACTTAGCTAGCTTCAACGTTTCCCCTTGATAACTAAAGTATTTCGGAACATGTAACTGTAAGGAAATAAATTTTGCTCTCTTGCTCTGGCAGAGCAAAAAGAAAACGAAAACTAGGGGGAATCCAAATCTCTCATGCCTTGGATGCATCACCACAGCGAAGATGTCAATTCTTGCAAGGTTTCTTCCTTTTTATTCCAAGTTTTACCAATTGTGATTGCTCCTGAGTGACAGGGTCCAATTCAGAAGTACCCTCAAGCTGTAGATCTGCTCCTTCCAGCATTATGCATAGCATAGAGAAGGCAGATTCAGAAAGCCTTTTCTCCCTCTCTAATAACACTTGAACTTGTGGATGTTAAGTGAAGCTAAAGATAAAAGAAAGTACTTCTTCACTTCAAACTATGGAACTCTCACCCCATTATGAGGCAGGACTCGTAATTGCTTCCTTTTCCATCTGACAATTAATCATGGGAAATCTAAAGTCCTGGTCTTTACCAGATCTCGGAAAACTTACAGCTGGAAGTTAGATGGAGTCCAATTAGAACAGGTTTTCAAATTTAAATACCTGGGAGTCTTTTTTCACTACAACCTAAGCTGGAAGCCACAGATACAGTATCTACTAAACAAAGGGAAAACAATACTTTATACTCTACTCCAATTTTTTGCGGCCGACGGAGCCTCCCACATCCCTTCCGCATTGAAAGTATACCACGCAAAAGTGGTTTCCACCCTCTGTTATGCTGCCCCGCTCTGGGCCCCAGGGTCCAATTTAACATCGATGGGGACATTGCAGAATCAGTTTCTCCGTCGCCTCCTGAAACTCCCCATGTGTGTGAGCAACGCAGCCATACGTCTGGAGTTAAAGATTGCATCATTGGAGACTGTCATCTGGAAGCGAGTCTTTGGCTATTGGCTGTCCAGCTGGCATAGGCTTCCCGACCATTACCTTTTTCAGTGCCTCTGGCGGGACGACTTTGTCAACCCGTGGGTAGGAAAAATCCATGCCAAACTCCTGAGCATCGGAATTTCCCCAGCGGACTCCTTAAAGATGAACTTACGCTCAGCCAAAAGCCTTATCGAGCAAAGATTAGCAGACATTGAAAATCAACACAACCTCGCCAGGGGCGGGGGTGTCTGCTCCCCCAGGTATCACGGAATAACCCCACCACTTGGCCTTCCATCATACATGTCATCTCTTTCATCTGTACCACACCGACTTGCATTTATTCGTGCAAGGTTCAATGTTCTTCCATCGAACCTGCTGAGCCACAGATTTTCCAAGGGTTTGGTGTCTCCGCTATGCGTGTGTGATGGGAAAACTGTTGAATCTCTTCCACATATAATGTTCAACTGTCCCCTACATAGCATAGCCAGGACTAAATTCCTGGGCCCTGCTTTACTGCGCTTGGTTGGCAAACCTGTGGAGTCACACGCCGCACTGCTTTTGCAGGATACAGATCCTTCTGTAACTCTGCAGGTGGCGAGATTCCTGAATGCGGTTATCTCACACACAAAAATCACCAAAAAACAACAATATCAAAAATGAATCGGACAGTTATGATGAGAGCGCATGTCGGATCTCGTCTTCAGTTTTCCTTTTTCTGTGAACCGTCCCTTGGAGCTCTCCGGGCCCCAAGCTGTTATTTGGTTCTGCTCAATGACCCTCCCTTGCATCGTGGTGTTCACCTTCTGTTGTCGGATATCCCGGTCTTTATGCCTCTGTGCTTTTATGTTTGTACATACTTTATGGGCTAATAGCCGTAAATAAATAAATAAATAAATAAATCAGCAAAATCTTGTTAAAGGTATTCTGTGGCCAAATATAGCCTATGTAGCCTGCCAATTAGGACAAGTACAGGAGGTTGTTGACAATTGTCAACAACTGTTGACAATTGTTGTTGACAATTAGGACAAGTACAGGAGGTTGTTGACATTTCTTCCAGCAATCTTAATTCCAGTTTGGGATTCATCCAGTCCAGCCTTCCGCATGATGAATTCTGCATATAAGTTAAATAAGCAGGGAGACAATATATAGTACAGCCTTGTTGTACTCCTTTCCCAGTTGTTCCATATCCAGTTCTAAGCTATTCCTATTTCAGATGAATAATGTAGCGCTCTAAAGATGTTGAGATTTAGGCTACCTGTTTTGCTTAATTTGCCTCCTGCACCTGCTGAATTTTTGTTTATGCTGCTGCCCTTTCAGTGCATTCCAAATTTTATGGCCTAATGTGGAAATACAGGGAGGAATTCCATGTAGCACAATGGCAATTGTTACATCAGTGGGGCCCACCCATTTGCTGTCTCAGATAGAGCCCCTTCCCTTTGTTTTCCTTTAATGGCTCATCACCCAGGTGATTACCTCGTCACGAAGCTGGTCTGGCTGATATTTTAACACTTACTGGATGCAGGAATTCAGGAGTCTAGCACCCACAAACTCATATAACACTTTATTCGGATTCCAATGGATCTGTAAATAGGTGGGTTGAGTGAATAATGCCAATCCCCGAGTGCACTTTTCCCTTCCCGAAACAGATTGCAAGGGCAAGAAGGAGGTATGAGCAGGTCTTGAGTGTGTCGGCAGTTGGCAGACTGATTATCTGTGCGCCCAGCCTGATCCCCAAAGCTTCCCTTGTGCAGAGAGAGAGAGAGAGAGAGAGAGAGAACAGAATTCACCTCCCTTTCACTGGGCTTCTCTTTTGCAGGTTGCCTTTGGAAACAGGACAGAGCTGGCCAGGATCTCTCCCCCACCCACGTACAGTCGGCAAGTGAAGGTGCCAGGAAGATGCTCATGACCAAGCTGCAGAATTTGCCCACTGTAATTCTCTTCTGCTCTATTTTACTTTTCCTACTTGTTGTGAAGAACAAATGGGAGTCTCTTGAGACGCTTTTCTCACCGCACAACCTCAAGGTAAAGGGCGGCCCAGATTCTGCATACAAAAGTGCCGTAGGATTTGAATGGGAATGTGCAATGGAGAGGACAAAGGAGACCAAGCCCTCTGGTCTGATTTCACCACCACCACCAGTGGCCAAGCGGCATCCCTTGGAGGTTGTCTATTCCACTGATTATAAGTTCCTCCTCAATGAGCCAAAGAAATGCTGGGAGAGGAGCCCTTTGTTGATCCTGCTGGTGATAACTGAGCCCCAGGATTTTGCCACAAGGCAGGCCATCCGGCAGACATGGGGCAACGAGAGCTCGGTGCCTGGGGTTTCCATTCTTTGTCTCTTTCTGACGGGTGTCCACCCAAAATTTGGATACCTGCTCCAGGCTCTTTTGGAAGAGGAGAGTTCCATCCACAGAGACATTATTCAGCAGGACTTCCTGGATACCTACAACAACCTTACCCTGAAGACTCTGGTGGGCATGGAATGGATAAGCAAGTTCTGCCCCAATGCCACCTATGTGGTGAAGGCAGACAATGACATCTTTCTCAATGTGAACTACATGGTGTCCTACCTGCTGCAGCCTCACCTGCCACCCAAGAAGAACTACATGACAGGTCACATCTATAGGAATGCAAAGCCTGTGCATGACAAGGCCTACAAGTGGTATGTGCCACAGGAGGTGTACCCCAATGAGACCTACCCGCCCTACTGCGCAGGCCCAGGGTATGTGTTCTCTGGTGATCTGGCCAAGAAGATATACCAGGTAGCAAAGACCATCAAGGTCATTAACATGGAAGATGCCTTCATGGGAATCTGCCTGTATGAGCTGGGCATCAGTGTGACAGAAAGCCCCTGGGGTCTCTTCAACGTGTACAAAGTCAAGTATGAGAAGTGCAAGTTCTCCAAGGTGGTGGTGGTGCATCACTACGGGCCAGAGGAGCTGCTGCAGATTTGGCCTGGCTTTCGGGACCAGAACCAGACTTGCAAGAGTTAAAAGGGAGGGAGGTGAACAGACACACAGCCTCTTGTGGAGAAGTTGGCGTAGAGGACTGGCAATGTGCGGGCATTTTCCTGTACAATGGACAAATCCATGCCAACAAATTGCAATGAGGAAAGGGAAGGATGGCTCAGAGAAGAAGGGAGATTCTGTGTTTGTCAAAATCCGTATATATGCCCTCAGAAGCGAGCTGGCCCCACATAACATGCTCATCGTGCCGTGTGGTTCGTTGCCATTCACACTGCTCTCCTCCCCGTAGAATCTCTGCAGCTGCCCATAGCAACTTGTTTGGTCTGCTCTGAACTGACCACTGTGCTACTAATGTGCCAAATTGACCTCAGGGTTTTGAGATCATCACAGCCACCACCTCACCTACTGGAAGAGAGCAACCCTCCGGCCATGCAGGTGTGGCACTACGTAGGATTGCCATACGTCCAGGAATTCCTGGAAATATCCTCTTTTTGGGGTCCTAAATGCCCATCCAGGGGGAATTATACATTTTAAAGCAATTGTTCGGGATTTTGGGGTTTTTAATATATATACATTTTTTGTGTGCAAGCAGTTCTGTATGTTTACCTCTTGAAATATGGCAACCAAAAAAAGCTCAACAATTTTTGTGTCTGTAAACCCTACACTACGGCAATGCAGAATTCACCTGTTCCAACATGTTGAAATGCAGCCTGGTCATCTTTAGAGTAATTTAAAGCAGATCAGTAGACGTTTCCTTCACAGTAGGAAGCCATACTCCACATAGGACCTGCCTCTTTGGGTTGTTGCCAGTTGTGCAAAATACTTATTTGTCACCTTTTGCTTTTTCATATATATAAATATAAATGCACACTCACATACACTGTCTGTTTTCAAAGAGCTTCTCCCAACACACAACGCAGCATTATTATACATGAATCACCATAAAGACGTTAACCCAGCCATTCCCTGTTCTCTTTGAAGGATGAGATAAGGTTGAAAAGGAAGGAAAGGGTGAATCCTCAACCAGGGAAGAGCATTCAGAAAAAGTAATGTCTTTTTCGCTCTATAAGACGCACCAGACCATAAGACGCACCTAATTTTTGGAGGAGGAAAACAAGAAGAAAAATACAGTGGTGCCCCGCAAGACGAATGCCTCGCAAGACGGAAAACCCGCTAGACGAAAGGGTTTTCCGTTTTGGAGGTGCTTCGCAAAACGAATTTCCTATGGGCTTGCTTCGCAAGACGAAAATGTCTTGCGAGTTCCTGCAGGGTTTTTTTCCTCCCCCCCCTTTTCCCAAGCCGCTAAGCCGCTTATCAGCTGATCCGCTAAGCCGCTTAACAGCTGATCCGATAAGCCGCTAAGCCGCTTAACAGCTGACCGCTAAGCCGCTTAACAGCTGATCCGCTAAGCTGCTAAGCCGCTTATCAGCTGATCCGCTATGCCGCTTAACAGCTGATCCGCTAAGCCGCTTATCAGCTGATCCGCTAAGCCGCTAATAGCGCTAATCCGCTAATCCGCTAATGGGCTTGCTTCGCAAGACGAAAAAACCGCAAGACGAAGAGACTCGCGGAACGGATTCTTTTCGTCTTGCGAGGCACCACTGTATACTGAATGCCAGAAGCCAGAACAGCAAGAGGGATTGCTGTTTTCACTGCACAATCCCTCTTGCTTCTCTGGCTTCTGCGAAAGCAACACAAAGCCTCTTCAGGGCAGGGGGAATGTTCCTCCAGCTGCTCTGAGGAGGCTTCGTGTGGCTATCCCAGAAGCCAGAACAGCAAGAGGGATCTCTGCACAGCGAAAGCAACAATCCCTCTTACTGTTCTGGCTTCTGGGATAACTGTGCAGCCTGCATTTGCTCCATAAGAGGCACATATTTTCCCCCTTACCTTTTAGGAGGGAAAAGTGTGTCTTATAGAGCGAAAAATTCGGTATTTTCTAGTATAGTACAGTGATACCTCGGGTTAAGTACTTAATTTGTTCCGGAGGTCCGTTCTTAACCTGAAGCACCACTTAGCTAATGGGGCCTCCTGCTGCTGCCGCGCCCCCGGAGCACGATTTCTGTTCTCATCCTGAAGCAAAGTTCTTAACCCGAGGTACTATTTCTGGGTTAGCGGAGTCTGTAACCTGAAGTGTATGTACTTGAAGCGTCTGTAACCCGAGGTACCACTGTACATTGTTTATTGCTTTCATTTTATGGATTCATGGTCTTGTTAGATAGCAAAATTCATGGTAAATTGCTGTTTTAGGGGTTGATTTTAAAAGTCTGGAATGGATCAATCCATTTTGCATTACTTTCTATGGGAAAGCTTGCCTTGGTTTTGGAACACTTTGGTTTTTGAACAGACTTCCGGAACGGATTAAGTTTGAGAACCAAGGTACCATTGTAATTGGGAAGCTTGAATTATTCATAAACAAAAGCAGAAGCTTTCAGTAGCCTCCCCTCACTCTCAGGAGGAAGAAGAGGCAAAAGGCACATGCAAGACCAAGCTTTGTGCTCATAACTTAAACTGAGGATCCAATCAATGCCAGCCCGTACCATGTCAATCACTGGCCAATACGGTAATGCTAACTGCAGTGCCGGATTTAGGGCAGCATGAGCAGTATCCCTGCACAGCACTGAGACGAGGCAGTGCAAAATCATCATCATCATCATCATCATCAAACAAACCTATATTTATAGGTTTTATTTATTTATTTATCTTGACTGTGTTGCCATATCTCAATACAGTATTGAACGGAGATGGTATTGTCGCACACAGATTTAGACATGGAGACTCCTCTGCAACAAATAAACTGGAACAGCCCAATGTCTGTTCTGTCTCACGAGCTCCATTATCCATTGTATATCAAAGGGATAGGCTTACCTTGCTCCCCACCCCCAATACTTTATTCAAGTTGGCATCCCCGCCCCCTTGGTCACCCTAATATGAGATCCAAATGTTTGCCTCCATCCTCCTTCCTGCCCTCACACAGAAGACTGGTCCTGTTTGTCGTAGCCCAGCGTTGCCAAGGTGAGAGAACTTTTGTTTGTCCTGTGGAAGACTCTATGGCATCACGCTGGAATAATAGAGGATAAGTTACTTATCAACCAAGGAAGCATTAGGACAATCTGATTTAACTAAGGTTAGATCACCCCACATGCTTGACATGAGTGCTCCTCACCAAAATTGTAATGTTTTAGACCAGTGTTTCCCAAACTTGGGTCTCCAGCTGTTTTTGGACTACAACTCCCATCAATCCCTGACCACTGGTCCTGCTAGCTAGGGATGATGGGTGCTGGTTTAGAGGCTTGTTGTGGGCAATACATAGCCCCATGCCTAGTATCCTCCACAAATTTGTGGCGTCTGATTATCACGCTTGGGGTGGATGTGATTGCAGAATGAAGCGCTGGAGGTGATCTGGACAAACATTTGTTCCAGGAAAGATGCCACCAAGGGGTTCTGCAATCTCCCATCTACACTCAAGTAAAAAGCCCCCATTGTTGTAACCTTTTCTCATAGGGAAGTCGCTCCAATTCCTTGCTCATTTGGGTTGTCCGTTTCTGATTCCCTCCCCGCCCCCCAGGTCTGCAGTATGCTTTATACTGAGATTCCTGCACTGCAGGGGGTTGGATTAGATGACTCTTGGGGTCCCTTCCAACTCCATGATTCTATAAGGTGAGGCAACCAGTACTGTATGCAGTATTGCAAGTGGTTGTTGCAACAGAAATTTGTGTAACAATATTATGATATTCACATTTAAGTTTTCATCCCCTTTCCTAATAATGATCCACAACATTGAATTATTCTGTTTCACAGCTGTATCTAAGTATTCCGGTTTGTCTTTATTTTTTTAAAAACACAAAAATCCCTTCCTGCAAACCGCAAGATTCTATTGTTCAGAGAAAAATAACAGGCCACCCCAATCTCTGAGTCCAGGGATCTTGGCATGCTTTACACAGGGTCTGTGCTCCCTTTTGGACAATTATTTATTAATGTATATATGCCACTTGAGTCTACATTGGAGGGATTTCCAGCATTCACATCTCAGGAGGGGCTTGCTTGCTTGCTACAGGAGCGCAGCACTGGATTCAGCGGCAGCCAAACAGTCCTCTCTGTGTCTCTTCGAAAACAGCTTGAAGAAAACAATTCTGCATCAGCCTATATCATCCAAGCTGGAACCCTCAACCTTTTCTTTCCCTGCCCACTAACACGCATAAGCTGCAGAAACCACTCCTCTCTGTCAATTGATGACTTCCCTGATGAGTTGATGGCTGGGCTTAAGGGCTTATCTCCCCAGGATGCCCAGGTCCAGAAAAACCAGGTTGGCCCACATTTTTACACGCCTGAATAAAATGTCTTTCAGCTCATCTTAATTCTCAAAAGTATTGATCAAACACTGAAATATACTCCGAGTCGAGAGTGGATTTCATGCTCTTTATTCAGCTTATAGTGGTGAGGAGAAATGAAAGTTTCCCCAAAGTATCTGCTTTATATACATTATTTACACAATGGGCTGCACGTGATTGGCTAATTCCTGAATTCTCCTGTAGGCCAATCAGGTTGTGGATTCACTTCCATCTGGAGCTGGATTGGGTGGCTCCTGCAGACCAGTCATACTGCTGCATTGTTCTAGGACCAATCAGACTGCTTCATTTTGTATCCTATTGTTCTAGGACCAATCAGACTGCTGCATTTTGGATCCTATTCAACTCAGTACATAACAAACACCATCACTAAAGAATCTAGAGGAGATCAGGGCACCACAACCCCATAACATCAACCTCTTCCCGAAGCACACATCTGATCCAGATGTGCCGACGAAAAGGAAATGTACTGTTGTAAACAAAAAATGCCCTTTTTCCTTTATGGGGTATCCAAGAGCCCATAGAGAGTCCTTACATAGGTTCCCTATTGGTAGGAGAAAATAACAGAGGCCAACGAGAGAATATTGAGAAGGAAAGCAGCTAGTAAGCCTGATCTTTATCAAACTGTTGCAACAGGGTCCTCACTCACTACACACAGGAGGGAGGAGGAACCCACAACAATGGCTCACAAGGCCTTATATAGACATTTTGAAATTGCCACCCTGTAGATCAAGACCACCCCCAGAAACATCATACATACATAATAGAAGGGGTGTAACCTAAGACTACCCCCAGATACATCATACCTACATCACAGAAAAGGTGGTCTACAACAGAAATTTGAATGATGTTTTTCTCCTGTCCTTGTTTATCTCCTGTCTGGCAGGTTACTTGGTTGGATACCCTGGGGAGCCTGGCCAGTCTTTTGTAGTGATAAATACTTAGTAATGATAAATACTTTATTCCTAAGTCAGGTCACAGGTTCACCCTATTCAAACACAGACATACCCTTAAGACAGGATTTGTGAAGGAAAAGACAATGGGGAGGCTTTTCCATTTTCCTTTGACCTTGCAGAGAAAACATTTGGTCAGTTTGGGACAGTTTGGGAATCAAAAATAGTTCCAGGTCGGTCTTCCTGTGCTGATCTATGTACTTGCTTGGTTGGTACACTCATGAACATTTAACATATATCTAAGACCTCAAAATTCCTATCACAAGCGGGTCCTGCTGCGGTCGTAAGATGGTTGCTGTATTCAGAACCGGGAAGGGATTTTCCCTGCATTGGCAGGTTTCGCCTTCCATGTAGCATTTTGTCACAACTATGGCGGTTTTAGGCCTTGGCAAGGTATCCTTTAGTCTAACATCAAGTTGCGGGGGGTGCATCTGTAGATGTGCCGACAGAAAGGAAAAGTACACAACTTTCCTGTAAAAAGAAAATGTAAGTAGAGGCATTTAGAACAAATCAAAGCAGATAATATAATACTTTTAGACCAACCCAGCAATTTCCAGTTCCCCAGGAATTCTCCAGGCTTCCTCCTCCCTCCTTCTTTGTGCATAGTTCAGTCAGAGCTGCATCTCAAAGGTGGATTTCAAACACACTAACAGTTACCAGAGCAATTCTTTTTTAAAAATCACAATAGTGTTTTAAAAAATAGTAAAAAAATATAAACATGCAAAAAAGCACTGTGCTACAAAGTCCATTGCTAAGACCAGCGGGAAAAGTAAAAGAGTCTCAGATAACAGACTCAAACCTCTGCCCTGCTCCCCCAGTGAGCAGCTGCTTACATGGTCTTTTGTCCTGGGGCCTCCACAGAGTTCCTTGTCTTGGTATCGTCACAAATTTCTCGGTCCAAGTAAATTAATCTTCCTGGACCTCATCTGTTTTCCTTTGGCCTCCCCTCTGGTTGTGGGTCAGAAATTCTGAACTCGCACCCCAGTCCCGAAACAATCTCTGCAGCCACATCAAGACACAATTCCAGGATCAAATCTGCTTTCTCACTAGCACACCCTCCAACATTTCTCTATTGAAAAGAAAGATGTGACGTCCTATTCCATAATAATCATTTTATTATTTATACCCTGCCCATCTGACTGGGTTGACCCAGCCACTCTGGGCAGCTTCCAGCATATATAAAAACATAATAAAACAAACATTCGTAAACTTCCGCATACTGGGCTGCCTTCAAATGTCTTCTAAAGGTTGTACTGTATAGTTACTTATCTCCTTGGCTTGGGGGTCGCATAACTCCATACCCTCCAATATTTCTTCGATGAAGATAGGGACGTCCTAAGGAAAAGCACAAAATTCCGGGATCAAATCAGAAACTGGGACAACTTCTGTAAATTTGGGACTGTCCCTGGAAAATAAGGACACTTGGAGGGGCTGCTGGGGGTCCTCTCCATCTTTCTACATCCTGGCCCAGTCCATCCACAGCCCCAAACCACAGATCAGAGTCCAGCCCCCAGTCCCTGGCAGGGGCATCTTCTTCCAAGTCCATTGGCCCAGACCCCCCTTCTCTCTCTTCTCTCTCTGCTTAATCCCAATTTATCTGAAGCACTTCATGGGACCCAACCAAGGCAGGTAACCCTCCCACGGACCAATTCAAGGACATTTGAAGTTCATTTTTTATAAATACCATATTAGATTAATGTCTGGTTAACTAAAGCAACAATTTCCGCCTTTTTAAAATATACACAGTATCTTCTTGTTGTTGATCGCTTTTGCTTTCGACATGGGTATTATATTCTTGTTTCTTCTTTTTTGTGTGTCTTCTCTTACTCTGTGCACTTGTAATTAAAAACAAATACAGTTTTCCATCAGGCTACGTCACCCAAGCTGAAACCCCTAAACCTTTTCTTTCCCTGCCGAATAACGCACATATATTGAGGAGGAGCCTTACCCTCCCCTTTCACACAAGCTTAGTGCTATTGATGACTTCTCTGATGAGTTGATCACTGGATTTAACAGCTTGCCTCCCTGGAATGCGCTGACAATATCTGGGGAACAGGAAGAACAAGAGCCAAAATGTTTGAGAAAGGAAATCTTACTGCCCGTATGATTAGCTACAAATGCTTTCCAAATCTACTCCAATATGCTACTGGTGCAGGCATTCAGATATTATCATAAAAGTATCTCTATGCTTCTTTTTCTAATAGCAAGGATTTGCTTAACTCAAAATGCCTTCCCCTTGTCATCATCCACATCATGGGTAGGCAAACTAAGGCCCAGGGACCAGATCCAGCCCAATTGCCTTCTAAATCCAGTCCGCGGACGGTCCGGAAATCAGCGTGTTTTTACATGAGTAGAATGTGTCCTTTTATTTCAAATGCATCTCTGGGTTATTTGTGGGGCATAGGAAGTTGTTCTTTTTCTCTTTTTTCAAAATATAGTTCAGCCCTCCACACGGTCTGAGGGATGTGGACCGGCCCCCTGCTGAAAAAGTTTGCTGACCCCTGATCCACATCCTCCTAGCTATGGGGGCCAAGATGCTGGTCCATCTCTCCCTCCACAGTAAAAGTAGGGCTGAAGGAGTCCCAAACACCTGGCTTACATTTTGCTTGCACCAGGCTACGGATCTAGTCAACAACACCAAAAACCTTGCATTTTCACTTGCCAACAGCAAAAGGATATTCGAAAAGGTGGCTCTGTTTGTTCTATAGCAGCAAATTTACATCGGCCTATTTAGAAATTATTGTAGCTGGTTGCTGTAATCTTTGTATTTATTATTTTCCTTGTTCTCCACCCCCCCAATACCTTATGTGAAATCTTGCCTGGAGAACTTAAACACTTGCCACTTGGGTGGTATTTGGGTTTGTCCCAAATAAAAGTTTTGCTGAACTGAGGATTTTTTACTGTGTATTTCCCTGTTTAGGGAAGTTTTTAATGTCTGATGTTTTATTGTGTTTTTAATATTCTGTTGAGAGCCGCCCAGAGTGGCTGGGGAAACCCAGTCAGATGGATGGTGTATAAATAATAAATTATTATTATATTATGTTATTATTATTTTATACTTCCTTCTTTTAGAATTTTGTTGGCATGGATGACCCTTGCAAAGGCCTAAAACATGATGCTTCAGTTAAGAGGATCAACAACAATCAGTTTTGGATTGTCTTTTAATCATTGTGGTTCTTCCGCCCCCCCCCCATGTTTTCAGCTGTTCTTATTTTTATCTGTAAGCTTTTGTTGGCGTCTCTCGGTGCTGCACAGGCTGGGGCAACCTTTCCCAGGCCAGTTTGGACAGTGTGGCATCTTCCAAGGATGGGGAATTGCTTATAACACAAGCATCTGTCAGAAGAGAAAGAGTGCACTTTTCTGGAGCCTCAAGGTGCAAGGATTCCCAGCCCAGACTGCAAACCCATTACTATGAGGAGGGAAAGTGATGCTAAATTGTAGCTCATATAGATGTATGTAGGTGCCTCCTGTCCAGCTCTCGTGAGATGTGCTGTTCTGCAGAACGGAGAGAGATTGTGCAGTTAAATGAGGACCTGAAGCTTGAGATACAGAGAGATTTGTGCTTGCCTATGAGACATGCTTTCTCAAGAACAACCAATCCCAGAGTTCCTTGTGCATAATAGACTGCATGGAGGAACCGTTGGTGAAAGGCTGGTGAAACTGATTCCGGGGCACAGTAGAAGACAGGGCTTCTGCTTTACAGGCCCAAAATATATGTTAGAGGTCTACTTCACACCCACGCTGCCATGGCATGCTGTAAATGCAGTTAACAGCTGTTTCTGATGAGCGTTCTCAGAATTTTCCTCCCAAAAGGTTCATTTGGGTTCTTATTAACAAAAATCAGCAACGTGTGTTATGGGTTTTTGGGCAACACCAATAACTGACAGAAGACAAAAGAAGTTTCAGTAAGTGAAAATGTTGTTGGAGACTGACGAATTCATTATATCCGTGACCCGGAACATATTCCCACCTATTCTGGGATGGCCTCAGGGTATATGAGAAACCTGGCAAGTGGCTTTCTTATATATTACGAGCTAATAAAACACTTCTCAGATTGTATCATCGTAATCGCAGCTGTCAGGGGTTCAGGGAGAGAGGCACAGATGAGGGAGGAGACTGAGAGCGAGGGGGAAGAATCCAGGAACGAGGAGGAGGAGGATGACAATGACTTGAGGGCTTCCATGAGTCTCTCAAGTGAATCGGAGGATTCCCAAAAGGGGGCGCCCCTGGTCAGGCCAAGGGGAGCCACAGGGGGGAATCGTCAGGAGCAGGGGAGCAGCAGGGAAACCCCGAGTGGGAGTGGGAGATCGGGGCCGGCTTCCCAGCCGGAACGGAGTGAAGAGGGTGGAGTTCCCAGTGTGACACACGGAGCAGAGCAGGAAGCAGAGAGGGGAAGGAGATCGGGGCAAGACGTCATTGATTCTGAGTGACCAGTTTCAGTCTGGCTGAAGTTTAAGCAGTCTTAAACACTCTTCAGAAACTGGATCTTGCTCCCCAAACCCTCATAACGATGGGCCTGGGCCAAGCTAGATCTGTGGTTAGGCAAAGAATCATGGACATAGAGAGACAACGGGACTGTACAAGGGTCCCCAATTATAAAATCATAGAAAACAGGAGATACGTAGCCACTCCAGCAACATATCTCTATTGCATCACATCCAGAAATGCAAGAAGGGCTTTCACTCTTGCTAGAAGCTCGGCCTTGCCCTCACTGGTTCTGGAAGGCTCCTATAGAAGAGTCCCAGTTGCACAGAGACTTTGCGCCTGCCCATTAGGGGAAATAGGAAGCCCCGAACATATATTTTTTAGATGTCCTTTTTATGCTGAGATTCGTAGAGACACCATTGAGCTTTTGCTGAAGAGGCCCGCCGATCTTTCAGACAAATCTAAACTTAATTCTCTCCTCTAAGGCAAAGATCAGAAGACGACCTGGCTGGTAGCCAGATTCTGAGCCCAGATTTGTAGGCACAGATCATCCTCTAGAATAACATAGCTTACTAGGGAAAAGCTGAAGCCGCCCTTTGGGGCGCCTCAGGGTCAGTTTTTATGGTAGCCCAAATCTCCGTTGTACATGTGTATGTATATAGCTCAATTTTAACTCATGAGCTATTGCTGCAATCTGCTCTAATTGTATATTTTATCTTTATTAATGCTGTTTTTATTGTTTTTATTTATTATAAATTTTCTATCTATCAACATCTCATCCTTCAAAGAGAACAGGGGATGGTTGTGTTAACGTCTTTATGGTAATTCATGTATAAATAATGCTGTGTTGTGTGTTGGGAAAAGCTTTCTGAAAAGTGTGTGTGTGTGTGTGTGTGTGTGTGTGTGTGTATTTATATATATGAAAAAGCAACAGAAGATGGCAAATAAGTTTTTTGCACAACTGGCAACAACCTAAAGAGGCAGATGCTATGTGGAGTATGGCTTCCTACTGTGGAGGAAACTTCTAATGATCTGCTTTAAATTATTCTGAAGATGACCAGCCTGCATTTCAATATGTTGGAGCAGGTGAACTCTGCATTGGGTTTTGCAGACACAAAAATTGTTGAGCTTTTTTTGGGTTGCCATTTTTCAAGAGGTAAACATGCAGAACATGTATAGATATTTAAAAACCCCAAATCCTGAACAATTGCTTTAAAATGTATAATTCCCCCTGGATGGGCATGTAGGACCCCAAAAAGAGGATATTTCTGGGAAATCCTGGATATATGGCAACCCTATGCCTAGTGCCACACCTGCATGGCCGCAGGGTTGCTCTCTTCCAGTAGGTGAGGTGGTGGCTGTGATGATCTCAAAACCCTGAGGTTGTCAATTTGGCACATTAGTAGCACAGTGGTCAGTTCAGAGCAGACCAAACAAGTTGTTATGGGCAGCTGCAGAGATGCTACGGGGAGGAGAGCAGTGTGAATGGCAACGAACCACACGCATGATGAGCATGTTATGTGGGGCCAGCTTGCTTCTGAGGGCATAAATACCAATTTCGACAAGCACAGAATCTCCCTTCTTCTCTGAGCCATCCTTCCCTTTCCTCATTGCAATTTGTTGGCATGGATTTGTCGATTGTACAGGAACATGCCCATGTGTTGCCAGTCCTCTACGCCAACTTCTCCACAAGAGGCTGTGTGTCTGTTCACCTCCCTCCCTTTTAACTCTTGCAAGTCTGGTTCTGGTCCCGAAAGCCAGGCCAAATCTGCAGCAGCTCCTCTGGCCCGTAGTGATGCACCACCACCACCTTGGAGAACTTGCACTTCTCATACTTGACTTTGTTCACATTGAAGAGACCCGAGGGGCTGTTTGTCACACTGATGCCCAGCTCATACAGGCAGATTCCCATGAAGACATCTTCCATGTTAATGACCCTGATGGTCTTTGCTACCTGATAGATCTTCTTGGCCAGATCCCCAGAGAACACATACCCTGGGCCTGCGCAGAAGGGCGGGTAGGTCTCATTGGGGTACACCTCCTGTGGCACATACCACTTGTAGGCCTTGTTACGTACTGGTTTTGAATTCCTGTAGATGTGACCTGTCATGTAGTTCTTCTTGGCTGGCAAGTGAGGCTGCAGCAGGTGGGACACCATGTAGTTCACATTGAGAAAGATGTCACTGTCTGCCTTCACCACGTAGGTGGCATTGGGGCAGAACTTGCTTATCCACTCCATGCCCATCAGAGTCTTCAGGGTAAGGTTGTTGTAGGTATCCAGGAAGTCCTGCTGAATAATGTCTCTGTGGATGGAACTCTCCTCTTCCAATAGGGCTTGGAGCAGGTATCCAAATTTTGGGTGGACACCCGTCAGAAAGAGACGAAGAATGGAAACCCCAGGCACCGAGCTCTCGTTGCCCCATGTCTGCCGGATGGCCTGCCTTGTGGCAAAATCCTGGGGCTCAGTTATCACCAGCAGGATCAAGAAAGGGCTCCTCTCCCAGCATTTCTTTGGCTCATTGAGAAGGAACTTATAATCAGTGGAATAGACAACCTCCAAGGGATGCCGCTTGGCCACTGGTGGTGGTGGGGAAATCAGACCAGAGGGCTTGGTCTCCTTTGTCCTCTCCAGTGCAGATTCCCATTCAAATACCATGGCACTCTTACGATCGCCTGCGGAATTTGGGCTGCCCTTGAGCTTGATGTCGGGCAGCGAGGAAATCATCACAAGAGACTCCCATTTGTTCTTCGCAACAATTAGGAAAAGTAAAAAAGAGCAGAAGAGGACCACAGTGGGCAAATGCTGCAGCTTGGTCATGAGCATCTTCCTGGCACCTTCACCTGCAGACTATGTGGGTGGGGGAGAGATCCTGGCCAGCTCTGTCCCGTTTCCAAAGGCAACCTGCAAAAGAGAAGCCCAGTGAAAGGGAGATGAATTCTGTTCTCTGTGTGTGTGTGTGTGTGTGTGTGTGTGTGCGCGTGCGCGTGTGTGCACACAAGGGGAGCTTTGGGGATCAGGCTGGGCGCACATAGAATCAGTCTGCCAACTGTCGACACACTCAAGACCTGCTAATAACACCTGCCTTCTTGCCCTTGCAATCTGTTTCTGGAAGGAAAATATGCACTCTCAGGGTTTTGCTGTGATGGCCTGGGAATCCGATTCAGAGGATGAACCGGAGGAATCCCAGCCTGCACAGGAGTCCCCGCCTCCAGGGCTGGCTGAACTGGGGCAGGGCCTTGATTCTGAGGCGCCTGCACCTGTGCCGGATCCTCAGGAGCAGGCACCAGGTGAATCCATTTTGGCTCCAGAGGTAGTTGAGGACTCAGTGCCTACAGGTGAGTCTCCCCCTGGGCCCAGTAACCCTTCAGCCTCTCCTGAACTGCAGAGGCGAAGGGAACTGGTTTCTCCCAGGAAGAGTGCTCGCCTTAAGGCCAGGAGAGGCGGGTCTCCTGGGGGCCAGGGCCGCCCCTGGCCTCAGAGAAGATAAAGGCCAGTCAGCCCGGTCCCAGGTTGCGGGAGCAACGTCGTCGCTGAGTACCTGCTCCTGTCCGGACCCAGACCTGACCCTCCATTGTTCCTGTCCCCGCTCGGCTTCCTGCTTCGGGCCCCGCCCCGCTCCTCGCGAACTGTTTCCAGGCTAGTGACCCAGGACCGGACTTCGACTAGGTTAACGGTAACCTTCCCCCCGGGACCAGCACATTGGCATTATTCACTCAACCCATCTATTTACAGATCCATTGGAATCCGAATAAAGTGTTATATGAGTTTGTGGGTGCCAGACTCCTGAACTCCTGGATCCAGTAAGTGTTAAAGGAAAACAAAGGGAAGGAGCTCTGTCTGGGACAGCAAATGGGTGGGGCCCCTCCCCCAGTCTCCCCCAGCTAGAAAGACAAAGTTAAAGTTTTGGGGAACTGTGGTGTGAACTAGAGGGAAAGCGGCAGGCTGGAAAGGCACAGAGGCAGAGCATGTTTGATTTCTGCTGAGATCCACAGCTGTGGCTACGGGAGAAACAATAACTTATTGAGGTGATTATGCTGGGACCCTCTCCATCATAGGCTCAGGTTGTATATATGTATGTGTCAATTAACCAAATAAAGACCACATTGTCTCCACTGTGCCTCACTTCCAAAAGGAAACACAAACTCTGGGTAAAGTGCCCAGCTGGGTGTGTGCCAGGGTGTCTGGTAAGCTGAAAAGCTTGCACTGATGGAACAATTGCCATTGTTCTACATGGAATTCCTCCCTGTATTTCCAAATTAGGCCAAATTATTATTATTACTATTACTATTACTATTATTATTCCTGTACAATTGTTATCCTGACATACACCTTCTTGGTGGGAAAAGGACCATTCTTAATTTTACTCGCACTGGCAAAGCCTGAAAGTGTATTAACATAGTGGTTCTACCATCCTTGTGCTGGTGGAGCCCCTATGTTGGTGGCTCAAAGGGGTGGAGGTGGAGACATGGTGGAGTTGGCGCAAAGCTCAGTCATGGAGTTACACTTGCTCAGAGCTTTCTCCCTCCCCCTGCCTTGTTGGCATAAAGCTACAAAAGGTCGGGTACCCGTTAGAACATTAACTTTAAAATCAATGGGCTGCTCTCCTCTCCATCTCAGGACAGGAGTCCAAACAGTAATAGTTCAATCAAAACCCCACCCCTTTCCCTTTTCTTTTTCGTTAATATCCACCCTGAAGAGAAGAATTCTGATGAACTAAAAAGCTTGCTCATTACTTTCAATCCATCTTAATAAAGGAGCTATGCTGCTGTCGCTCTTTGGGTTTTATCTTGTGGGCCGCCATGGACCAATGTCCATGTCTGTATTGCTTTCAGATTCACAGTGATTAATATGTTCCCTTCTGTAGTTCTGTTATTCATGTTATTTGTTTAAAAGGTTGGTTTATTTGCAGCTCAATAAACTGGAGACTCGCCTCTTGGTTCAAGAACTTGATAACCCTATTGTTAAATATAGTTTTTGATAAACTACTTATAGGTCTTAATTACTTGTGAGCATTTTGCTGAGATCCTTTGCTGCCCTTGCCCTTCTCTAGACTTCAGTCTTGGCTCCAGTACAGATTGAGCTGGTTTGCCTTTTCTGCTTCTGCACCAGAAGAAGCAACAGCTTTCTGATGAATATGGAGAAATGGTTCAGGCACACCTGTGCTTGTTTCGGGCGGTTCCACATCTTTTTTCTTTCTTGCAATTTTGCCAAAAAGCTCAACAAACAACTTCCCCTCAACAAAAACTCAACAAAGTTTCCCTCCCCCCAAAATTCAACAACTGCCGCCCCCCAAAGCCACTTCAGCAACTTTTGTGTCCCGATATTCACTGCTTGAAATATGGCAACCTTAGACTGGGTCTCCTCCAGAGACAGTATAAAAACACAAGGGGCTGACATATGAGAGACAGAGTGCTCAGCCCCCAGCAGCCCCCAGCTCACTCACCTGCATGCATCTCCTTGTCACCTTTGGTGACCAAGCAAATGGTTAAATAAATACATGCCTGCTCTATGAAACACCTTTGCCATCATCAATTTCAAAGGAAATCTCATTCAGCGCTCCAGGTATTTTTTCTCTCCCTCCTTGAGGGACCTCTTAGTGGTGCCTTTCTACCCCTCTCCCATTCTCTTCTCTCAGGTGAGCACTTACCTGCCTGGGGTGCTGTTCACTCAAGGTTGCAACCTGCCTTTGAAAGAATATTCCGGCTGCATGTCAGCTGCAATTTACCTTTCCCCGGAGAGGGTGTGGCACAAGAGGAAAGGACAACGCCTACGTAATCCAGCTAACACAGAGGGGAGGGAGCAGGGACTCTGCTTCCAGGAGAGTCTTTTTTCCAGGACCATTGAGGCACCTGGAAGGACTCACCACCTGCATGCCAATCCCATGCTGAATCTCACACACACACCAGAAAAGAAGAACATGCCCCTCAGAACCCAAAGTGTTAATATAATGCATACCCTCCGTCATTTCTCCAAATAGGGATGCCCTGTTCATTTATTTATTTATTTTATTTATTATTATTATTATTATTATTATTATTATTATATTATTATTATTATTATTATTATTATTATTATTATTACTACTACTACTACTACTATTCTATTTATACCCTGCTCTGGGTGGTTTCCAACATATAATAATAAAATATTAAACATTAAAAAACTTCCGGGTCTCAGCAACATGGCAGGCGGACTGTAAATCTGACAGCTATGTCAGATTTGGCTTTGTGGAGTGAAGGGGAAGAGTGCGAGGGTGATGCGCCTCCCCCCAAAAACCCATGAGGAGCATTGGGATGTCCCGGGGTCCTGCGGCTCACTGATGGCGCTGCAGCGAAAGGAACTGTTAAGTTGTGGGTGAGCATATCAGACGACACAGCGATTCTTCAAACAGCTCTTTTTTATTCCCAGGCCAGAAGAGAACTGAACTGAAAGGTTTAGTCAGCCTGCTTATACAGAGCTGCAGTACAACGTAACTGTAACAATTTTCTAAAACTATCCAATCACTGAACGTCACTTTCGATCCCTTATTTGCATAACTATCTACAGTATCCCCCTGCTGGCCCAGGGTGAGAACTTCAGTACATAACAGGAACAGAGTAGCGGGGAGCCAAAGGCGCTGGTGAGCTCGGCACCAGCACAGCTCCACAGAAGCAAAGCCTCTGATTCAGTCATGAGTGGTTACCTTTCCAGCATACTGTGCCAACTGGAAGGTGAGGAAATATTAAGGAATTAATTAATTTGGCTTATTTCGGCAAGAAAATGGGAGTGAAAAAAGGAAGTCCGCTCCCATTACTGGTGCTATAGGCACAAAATATATGTGTGGATGAAATTTACTTTGGAAGAGAAGTTAACTAATGAACAATTAGGATTAAAAGACTGCACCCAGCTTCCGTTTATGCCAATCTCAAGTTTTTTTAAAAATAATGATGTTGACCTGAACTCTAGTTGAACTTGGACATAGCACACGGTGAGATTGAACTTGACTTAAAATGGAGGTTAAACCTGAGAAGATTATAAGGTTAAGAGTACCGGTAGTTTAAATTTTCCTTCTGGGGAAAAAGACTGGACTGACTCTCTGGAAACTATCTCACTTCTGTGAAAGAGTTTCAGGATCTATTTGACTGTTGTAGACGTTCAACTTAATGTGTGGCAACCATGCTCAGGGAAAATATATATTTCTTTGCCTTATTGTCTTATTACTGTGCTACATGTGTCCTGTTGCTAAGAAAGCATGTTGCTATGCGTCTTAAGAAAATACAATTACTGCTGTGTTTGCATTCTGAGGTTGGAAATGGCAGAAGCAAAAAATCTCATTGTTAAAGCAAACCAGCCAGGCCACAATGCAAGAGAATATAAGATATGAATTGTATGATTTGTTGTTAGATTTTAAAAGAGAACTGTTTGATCAGTTGAAGGAAGGTGTTAACAAAGCAGCTGTTAAAATTCGGGAAAATACTAATTTAATGTCAGAAGCTGTGGGATAATTAATAGAAGCGAATGCACAAAATACCAAGGCAGGAAGGGAGAATGACGAAGCTTGAGGAAAATACAAGGGAAGGGAAGAGTGGTCCAAAATAAAAATGGTACCTCATGTGAAATGATCTGGGAGGCTCTGACTGTGATAGAGCAGAAACAGGAAGGGAGGGCAAAAAGGATAAAAGGTTTATGTAGCTGCAATGTAAAATAATTACCGTAAGTAGGCCTGGAAAAAGATATATAAAGATTGGAAAGGAATGTGGAAAATGATTGTTGTCAAAAAAACCCTGAATTTATGATATTGAGATGTACAGGTTTTGATGGACTTATTCAATGAAAGTCTTTGTTCCTATACTTAAGAGTGGACGCCAGGCCAAGACCAGCCAGTTCCTACAGAAGGAAAAAGCCTCTGCCTAAGAAGATAAAGAATATTGGCAAAATAAACTACTGAACTACGCAGGACAAATCAGTTAGCTTGAAACCCTAGAAAGAAAAGAAGACTTTGAATTAAAAGGGGGGGCAAATGTTTAATGCATATTTTTTAAGCTTGGTGTATAGATTTTTGGAGGGACGTGGGTGGCACTGTAGGTTAAACTACAGAGCCTAGGACTTGCTGATCAGAAGGTCGGCGGTTTGAATCCCTGTGACAGGGTGAGCTCCCGTTGCTTGGTCCCTGCTCCTGCCAACCTAGCAGTTCGAAAGCACATAAAAGTGCAAGTAGATAAATAGGTACCACTCCGGCGGGAAGGTAAACGGTGTTTCCGTGTGCTGCTCTGGTTCGCCAGAAGCGGCTTAGTCATGCTGGCCACATGACCCGGAAGCTGTATGCCGGCTCCCTTGGCCAATAAAGCGAGATGAATGCCGCAACCCCAGAGTCGGCCATGACACGACCTAATGGCCAGGGGTCCCTTTACCTTTACCTATAGATTTTTACGTTAGCATAACTTCTAAAAGTCACTTGTAACAAGATGAAGAAGGTTTAAAATTGGACTATTAAGAATATAAGGTTTTTAAGGACGTGCGTGAACGAGTACTAAACAATGGAAGCGAGAGGGGAAGTGGAGGGAAGTCAGGCAAAATCATGGTTTAAAAATCTGTTTATTGTTGTTATTTTTGGGAAATTAATAAAATGTTACCCCCCCAAAAAAACTTCCTTCTACTGGACTGCCTTCAGATGTCTTCTAAAGGTTGTGAGTTACAGTGGTACAGTGGCGTAGCGTGGGTTGTCAGCACCCGGGGCAAGGCAAGTAATTTGCGCCCCCTAACCCGTGGATTTGCGCCCCCTAACCTGTGGATTTGCGCCCCCTAACCCTAACCCCCAGATGTTGCACCCGGTGCGGCCAGCACCCCCTGCACCCCCCACGCTACGCCACTGCAGTGGTACCTTGGTTTTTGAATGTCTTGGAAGCAGAACGTTTCGGTTTTCAAACGCCGAAAACTCAGAAGTAAATGTTTCCGTTTTCGAATGTGCCTCGGAAGTTAAACGGCTTCCACTGTGTTTTTTAAAATTTCTCCATTGACTTTGCAGACTGCAAAGTCTGCAACCTTTGCGCCTCAGTTGTCAAACGTTTCGGAAGTTGAACGGTCTTCCGAAATGGATTGCGTTCAACAACTGAACTACCACTGTACTTATCTCCTTGGCTCAAGGGTCTCATAACTCCATACCCTCCTACATTTCTCTGATGAAAATAGGGATGTCTTAAGGAAAAGCGGGACATTCGAAGATCAAATCAGATGGCTTCTGTAAATCCGGGACTGTGCCTGGAAAATATAGACTTGGCTGAGGGTCTGCATAATGCTGTATCCCAAAGCAATATACATTCCAAACAAGTTGTGCTTGAAAAGACCAGATAGGTAACAGAACTGGAGGTGCCCATTATGCAGCAGCAAAACAAATATGATGTTATCCAAGCAATGAAAATTTCCCATGAAAATCAAGGGGCTTTTCTGCCTGAAGCAAAGGGCAAAAAGATGCCTTTGTCCACTTCATGTATAAAAGCTCAGCAGACCACTGAATCTGATTTAAACATCCTCCATTGCACCTTGAGGTCAGTGGCCTAGTTTAGTGGGTGCAGGACAGGCTACCCAGCGTACAAACACAGAGAACTTTCTCCACTGACAGTCCCTCCATATTTCCCGCCCGAGGCAGCTGCCTCACTCTTTCCTCATGGCAGGGCCGGCCTTGATTACTCTTGAGTCAGATGTGCGAAATACAACAAAGGGATAAATAAGCCCGCCCATTTATTCCCTCCCCCCAGTAGATTTTATTAAAGCTTAAAAGAACATATACAAATGTTAATATCAACTGCAAAATAACTTTTTACAATGCAAAAAAGAATGAAAAGCACTCTAATCTAAATAAAAACAAAAATAAAGGAAGAATAAAGAAAAAGAGTATGTGTGTGAAGGGGAAGGATTCTGATTCTTCATCTGTAAGGTATATATACTGTATATAAAATATTCAAAACATGCGCTCCAAGGTAACCCCCAACTATTCCACTTATAAAACAATATTTTATTTGGTCCATAAACCCAGATATCACAAATCCAAGCCCATCAGCTTGGGCTAGGATAAGTTCTTTATAATGGGGAACTTTACTTCATAAGCTATCCATTCTTAAGGAAATCAGCCCTGAGTGCTCACTGGAAGGACAGATTGTGAAGCTGAGGCTCCAATACTTTGGCCACCTCATGAGAAGAAAAGACTCCCTGATGTTGGGAAAGATGGAGGGTGCAAGGAGAAGGGGACAACAGAGGCCAAGATGGTTGGACAATGTTCTTGAAGCTAGCAACATGAGTTTGACCAAACTGTGGGAGGCAGTGGAAGACAGGAGTGCCTGGCGTGTTCTGGTCCATGGTGTCATGAAGAGTCGGACACGACTAAACAACAAATTACTTCATAAGAAGTTTGTTGTGAACCAAATCCCTCCCCCCTCATTTAGGGCTTATTCTGGCTTGAAATACATTGGGGCTCATCCGTCACACACCCCAGGCCTATTTTGCACACCTTTCTCAATTGCTTTTTGAATCCGTACTTGTCTGCAAAACACTGCAGCATTCTTAGAGTCCTTTGGAGGTTATTCCTCTAAGTGCTCTGGCATCTCAGATGTCACTTGGTAAAAATGGGTTGGATGAGGATTCAGCTGGAACGAACCCTACCTTGAAGCATACTGAAAATCAATTAACCACCACTTTCTGGAACAAAGAGCTGCCCAGCTTTTAAATATTGAAGATGAGAG